TTGACATCATGAAATATCACCCCCTCACCAAACATGGGAGGAAAGTGAAGCCTGCAGGAGGAGGTAGGGGTGTCATTTCAAGAGTCAACCAGGGAGGGTTAGAATCAAAGATCCTGGAATTGGCCATCTTCTTGGAACTTCACCCCCATCAATAGTTATAACCATAGCAATAGCCAGGGCATTACTGTGCACCTGGGACTAAGGATTGTCTCATTTAACTCGTAATCAGTGACTGACAGGTATACCTGCTACAGTTTCTAACTGCTGCTCCCTCCCACTGTTCTAGTTATCTAGTACCGCTCTGACAAGAAATATACCACAAATGGGATGGCCTTAACAAACAGGAGTTTATTCTTACAATTTGGAGGCTTTAAGTTTGAAGTGCCAGGCTCTAGGGGCTGGGTGAAAGCCCCTCAACCTTAGGGTCCAGCTCTGTCTCCTGCTCCTGGCCCACTGGAGCTAGAGGCATTTCTTCACTCAGACAGCTGTAGGCTGCTGAGGCTAAGAAGCCCCAAGGTTGACAAGTAAAAAGGCACAGTCCCAATGTTACCAAACCACACAGCAGGCCATTAACTTAAGTCCACTGTATGTCCCAAGGTTGGCAGAGCATGGCAGGCTGCTGAGCGACGACATAGCTATATGCAGAGCCCAAGCGTGCCATAGGCTGGATACCATTCTGAAAGCTTCTCCTTATATACAGGAAGCAGACCACATCCCAAAGGCAGCTACTCAGCTGCTTGTGGTAGATCCCACCATGTAGATGATTGCCAGTCTCATAATGGGGAGTAACTACCACCAGCTGCCCAGCCACTCAACCAGGCTCAGCCAAGTTGACACACAAACTGAACTACCACACCTACCAAAGTAGAACTCTTAACCTCTGAAATTCGGCTGGGTCCCAGCAATCAGGAGCTAATGTCTGGGATGTGGCTAATCTCAATGAGCTGATGAGGCGAAGGGAGAGAAGAACCCTGATGTGCTGTCTCCCAGCCCATACAGTTTCAGGAAATGTAATAGCAGCCTCTCTGCCTGCCCCTTACACCCCTGCCCCTCTTGCCCACCTCCCCCCATATTGCTCCTCTGCAAGTCTCTCACCTGGATCCTCCAGCCCAAGTGTCCCATCCCACTGCAGCCCAGGAACCTAATCAGCTTATTCACTGGGTAGATGGCCTGCGCCATCTGAAATGTCTCCTTCTTACTCCTTGGGGGCAAGGATCCTTGAGATTTAGGTCATGACTATAAATAGCCAAGAAAACCACTGTCCTTCTTAATTAACTCATCTATATATTTGGTCAATCAGTTCCTGCTGACCCCCAGATGGCCGAGTTCTACATAATGCCTCCCTGGACACTACTGGTGAGGAGGAGGGGCCCTCCTCACTTCTCCAACCTTATTCTCTGAGTTCTCCAGCAGGTCCTTCCCTGCAAAACATTCCTCTCCAAGCATGTCTTACATGGTTCCACACCTGCACCTCTGCTGCACTGCCAGCCACAGAAGATTCTAGTTGGAACCTAACTCTGACAGGTGCCAGCAGTGAAGGTGACCTCAGGAATGTTACTTCCCTCTTGGGGCCTCAGTTGGCATCACCTGTAAAATGGGCCATCTCTTATGACACAGGGGAGGGAATGGAAGTGCCACAACACATGAGTGAACTGGCCTTCAGGAGAAACAGTATACCCCCTGCCTGCCAGAGAAAGATCAGCCATATTCCATTTCATGCAGTTGTTCACCAAACACTGACTAAGCCCCTTCCTAGCATTAAGCTGAGTGCTGGAAGAGGCAGAAACATAAACACCCAGGGTGCAAGATCCACTACGCAGGTAAAATACCAGATAAACAGTTTCTCCTGTTCTGTGTCAAACAAATAGCATCCGAATGGAGCGGGGCTAGTTGATGCTGCGCCCCCTCCTGAGGCACTTCACACTCTCCCCAAACCACGTGAGTCAGCAGAAGTAGGTTAGAAATCTCATTAGAGTGGCTTTCCCCTTGGGACTCTGTAATTCTCCTACAACCCTGTTTGGGTGAGGGCTGGGCTTATCTGTTTTTCTTCCTGAGCAGAAGCCAGTTGTCAAAACAACAGTCACCACCTTTAAGGGGCACTCGCAGTCATTAATAATTTAATGACTTTTGGTTCCAAGCTGTTTCCCCAGAGTAACCCAGACCAAGTGCTCAGTTGTATTTGAGGTCATCGAGCTAGACCACTGACTTGTCCAGCTCCTCTGCCCATCACACTGCCCATAAGCATGACAACTCCAGCCAAGCCATGCTGCTTATTGCATTCATAACACCCTACACTTCACTCTGCCTCCCAGCCTTTGCATATTGCCTCATCCCCACCTGGCATACTTTTCTTTGTTATTCAAGTTTTTCAAACTGTATGTGTTAAAGTATCTTTAACAAATGTGCTGATGGGTGCCCCATTTGCAATGTCTCCCCACTGGCCTGGAATACAGTGCTGGTCATCTCTGGTTCCCAGGCCATACCAGGGCCTAGGCCCCGGGAAAAGTATGTAACTTTTTTTTTTTTTTTTTTAATCAGACTTTCACTCTCAATTTTCAGATGTATACAGGTTTTCCCCAAACTTTCCCTGACATCACACACTCTTGCCTGGGCCTTTCCCCACTCAGCAGGCCTGGAAGGAAGATGAAAATCTGTGTATTTTTCAAATGGTCCTAGATTGGGAAGGTCAAAGGGAAATCAAAGGTCTCTACCCCATGACCTTTAAGAAGGTGGGGTGACCTTTCTTCCTAGAGACATCCTGCAGGCACGTTCCTCAGCTGTGGTGCTCCCAGGGAAGGCCATGTGGGACTGGACAACACAGTTTACACATGAATGGGGATCAGGGCCAAGGAACAACCACCTCGGGACCTTCCCCAGCAAACAACTTTCCTCTGCAAACTCTAGTTTTGTCTGTTTTAGTGTGAGTCTTCACTAAGTAACCCACAAAGCACATTATTAATAAAACACATTAATAAGAAATATCTGCAGCAGGCTTTTCAATATGTCAATGCTTTCTCATACACACGTCAGTTAACCCAGTGAGATCACTATTCCCCTTTTACAGAAGGGGTGACTGAGACGAGACCCAAGCAGGAGACATGACTTCCACGAGGTCACGCAGCCAGGTTATTCTCTTGAGAGCATGACAGGAAAGTGGTGAGGGAGGATGGATGGGAAGGTAGAAGCAGGTAGGTTCGTGAGAAGGAGTGGCTCAAGTCCCCAGACCTTTCCCCTCTCCCACCCTAAGATAAGACCTGGTCTCCTCCTGGTTATACACACTATTGAGTCTTTAGGGTCCTCATCCTAGTTCACAACTGAATAATTCGTTTGTATGGTCATTTATACTGTCTTTTCCTGAGGCTCTGAGCATCTCATCTGCTTTGTTCTGCCCAGCACTGCACATGCTAAATAACATTGCTTAATAAATACTCACCAGTGGAATGAATAAATAAATGCTGAATGAATTAATCAGTTCATTCAGATGTGGTCATCCCAGGGGCAGGAACAGGTCTGAGGGACAAGTCCAGAAAGGGCAGTGAGACTCCACAGGGCTGTGCCCCAAAGGAAAAGGCAGGGCAGGGAACATGGTTGCTAAAGCCAGCAGACCTGTCTCTTTTGTTGTGTGGTCTCAGTGGCATCACTGCTGCCTCTCTGAGCCCCAGCTCCTCCTCCTAACTGCAGAGTGTATGGTAACTCCTCAGGGCAGTCTTGTGGCTCAGGCAAGGAAATGATGGTAACGTTCTGCAGGTGCTTAGTGAGTTCTACATCAGATCTAAAACCAAAACCAAACTCACTGCCATCAAGTCCACTCTGACTCATAGTGACTCCCATTGGGTTTCTGAGGCTGTAATCTTTACGGAAGTAGATTGCCCCATCTTCCTTCTGCAGAGTGGCTGGTGGATTTGAACCACTGACTTTCTGGTTAGCAGCGAAATGCCTTTTTGCTATGCCACCAGAGCTCTTTACATCAGAATTAGACGTAGTAAATCAAATAGGTTGACCCCTTGTTCTCTTGATAAAGAGACAGAGGTCCAAGGTGGCAGGGCCAGGACTAGAATTCACTGCAACTAGATCCACAAGAAAGATCCTAATCCTCGAGAAACAGTTCTCTGAGAGTTTCCTTTGGGATGATCGTTCCCTACCTGGGCTATTGGATGAATGAGGCACCAGAGCTCAGGTTACTAGATTTAGCAAATATTGTAGAGGACATTCAGATACTGAAAAATGATGTGCTGTCTATCCGAAATTCTAATTTAACAGGGTGTTCTGTATTTCATCTGGCAATGCTTTGTGTTATCCAGCACACAAAATATGAGACCCAGGGAATAAGAGTGATCAATCCCCTGCTCCCTGGCTGTCTGCTCTGAAACATTGAGTACAGATCACATGACTCTGACCTAATGGTCACACTTGTTCCTGGGCACGCTCCTTCCTCTCACCCATAAGACGCCTCTTGAGTGCTGGCTGCCCCACACTTATCACAGTCTTCTCCGCTCCTTCTGTTTCCATGTGGTTTTTCCAAAGTATGTGTCCCTAGAAGGATGTCCTCTAGATGGTCTACAGGCCACCTTCACCTATCCTGCCCCCTTGACAGACATTGCTAATTGATCACAGCACCTTCCTCCTGATCTGGACCCAGCCTCAGATTCCTCATCAGAGCCTGGTCTCTCTGGGCCTTAGTAACTCAAGAGACAAGAGATAGTATTCATATGGGGAAGATGGCCAGGGACAGGCAGGGGGCTGAGAAAAGACCAGAAAGAGGTGGGAGAAGGATGATGGGGAGGTGAAACAAGCGGCTTAGAGCACAACCCTTAAGACATAAACTAGAATCACACAGGCTTCACTGTGTCAGGATGCAGCAAAGGTGTGAGCCTTTTACAATGTGGCAACACTAGTAGGACCCTCAGAGGGCTAAGAAAGGAGAGGGAATTTGGAGGAAAGCGAGGACCCAACTGGAGCCTGGGAAATGAAGACAAGAGGAGCAGGACATCTAAAAATACCTTGGGCTACTCCTAAGGACTAAAGCTGTGAAGGTAAGACACCTCAGCATGCAGGCCCCACCTAGGCTGTTCTAGGAGCTGCCAAGCCGAAGGAGGGGCCGAGCTCATCTAAACACCCATGCAGATCTGGGTGCACATATACTTTTGCAGGCCTTACAGAGAACACTCAGCTAGCTCAGAGAGGAAAGCCACTCACACCAGCCACACAGCTAACATGGAATAACTGAGATTCAAGTCCCCACCTCGACACTGCCACCCCAAGAGAAGCTACTTTAGGAATAAATGAATCCAGACTTGTTTTACACATGAGGAAACCCAAGGTCTTAAGAGGGGAAGCGACTTGCTTAATATCCCCCAGAAAGTTGGTGGGGAAATGGGTGTTTAAATGAGGATCCATGGGGGTCCCTCTGGGTGGCTGTGCCTGAATACCAATCCCAGGGCACTTTTCTTCAGGGTAGCCAGCACTTCCAAACTCAGAGGCTGTCTACCCCCAGGGATCCAGCAAGTGCCTGCTTTTGGAACCCTGGGTTTCTGCTGGCCAAGAACAGGCTAACGGATGGGAATACCTTCTAGAAACTGCTCCCAGGTTTCACTGTAGTGAACTGCTCTGGTCTCTGAAAGACCTTGTCAGTTTCTGGGGGGGGGGGGGAGCTCCTTGAAGAAAGTACCACCACCAGACTCCTGTTTAGGCTGAGATCCAAAGCAGGAAGATACACCCAAGGAGTTATCCCTTCACCTGAGCTTTCCCATTACAAGTAAAGCCAGAGGGAAAGAGGCACCTGCTTGCCTTGGTCATTGGGAGGCTCCATCTTCCTGCAGCTGTGTGCAGAAGACTAGAACCAAAGATTCTAGTTCAAACTCAGGCTTCTATCCTGTCCTGAAATATGGCCAACTTCAAGTTTCTCACTGCCTTTTTGAGCCTCAACATACTCATCTGTAACATGGGGATAGTAATAACTACTTTATCAAGATGATGTAAGTACCAAAGATGGGGGAAAAAAGAGAGAGAGAGAGAGAGAACTGCGAATGCTATCATCATCCATATATCTAGACGTCTCTGAGACAGTGGTGTGAAAAAGAACAATAATAGCTCTAGGATTTGCGATAATAATAACTACCATTTATGGAGTCATTGCTATGTACTAGTCACTGTCCTAAAGAAGCTCTGGTGCTGTAGTGGTTAAGGCATTTGGCTGTTAACCAAAAGGTCAGTGGTTTAAACCCACCATGGAAAATGAGGCAATCTTCTTCTGTAAAGATTTACAGCCTTGGAAACCCAACAGGGGTCTCTATAAGTCAGAATCGACTTGATGGCAATGAGTTTTATTTGAGTTTTTGAGTCACTGTTTTAAGAACTTTCACAGTTCTTCCCTGATCCTCACAACCACCAAAGAAAGGAGATTCTACATCATGCCCATTTTAACCAAGGATCCTGTAGCCCAGAGAGGTTGAGTGATGTACCTAGGGTCACAGAGTAAAGTACAGGCTGAATGACATCCATACCTAGACTTGTGGTACAGCTAAGCCCATGGTCTTAACCATAAAGCTCCTCTCTCAAAAGGGTGGTTCCTCAGCCTCCTCCCACCCAAATCTGGCCCAGTATTCATAACCATTTTCTCCCCAGATGAGGCAGGCTGGCAGACTGGGAGTTGCTTCTCTGTGATGGATGATTTGATATCCTTTACTCCCTAAAGCACCGAAGGCAGGAGCTAGCAAGCTGCTACCACTCACTCTGGAAGCCTCCACAGCTGCCACCAATGTCAGGTAGGAGTGTGCAATAGAGCAACTACTAAACCAAAAACCAAACTCACTGCCATCGAGTCAATTCCAACTCACAGTGACCCCCTTTGGGTTTCTGAGGAAGTAAATCTTTACAGAAGTAGATTGCCCAGTCTTATTTCTGTGAAGTGCCTGGTGGGTTTGAACTTCCAACCTTCCAGTTATCAGTCAAATGCCTTAGGCACTATGCCACCAGAGCTCCTTAGGACAACTACTAGAGGAGTGAGTAACTATTGGGCAAAAGGTATCCAAAATCTTAAAAATGGGCATCCCTTTTAACCTCATAATTCCAATTTCTTGGCCAGGCTGATGTATAAAGATGCTCATTGAAAGATGTTCATGCAGTGTAGTTTACAAGAAACTTCAAATGACCAGACTCCCATCACTAGGAGATTAAAGAAATGGTTTATCTAAATAATTCACTATTACTCAATCACTCAAAATGATGACTTAGAACAGGGGCTCAGCATACTATGGTCCCCGAGCCAAATTCAGTGGCATTCTTTTGCAAATAAAATTTTACTGGGACAAAGCCACACCCACTCATTTGCATATAATCTGTGGCTTGTTTCTCCTACAACAGCAGTTGAGACCATATGGTTCACAAACCCAACCTGGTACTCTTAAGTAAAGTTTACCGACCCCTAACTCAGAAGACCAAAGACCCCCCCAAAATTGCTCAGAAATGTTACCTGGAGAAGAAAGCCAGTTCCCAAAACTATGTACTCTGTGAGCTCAATTTTGACAAGAAAATTTAAAATTATTTATATTCACCCACTCTGAGATCACTCCATGGTTATCTCTGGATGCGAGAACAGGGACGATTTTGATTTCTTCTTTAGCTCTTTCTTGGCTTTCTAAATTTTCTGTATTCAAAATGTATTACTTTTATAATCAGGGCAAATAAACAATAAGGATAATTTTATAATGATCTTGGCCCTTCCCAGGATGAAAGGGTGAGGCTGACACTCTTGCAAATAGGCCTGAAGGTGGCATTTTCCAAGGACACTGGAAGTCAAGAGCTGCTGTGCATGCCCCACCCTTGCCAGAGTTTACACACCTGATAGGGGAAGGGGGCAAGGACCCAAGAGAGGTCTCATGTGACTAGTTGCATGAGCAGTGAGGACTGTTATGAATATTTCTTCCTATTTTTGTTATGAATATGTTTGTGTGTGTATGTGAGGTAAAGAATTACTTTGTTGTTGTTGTTACATGCCTTTGAGTTGGGCCCAACTCATAGCAACCTCTCCTTGGGTTTCCGAGGCAGTATCACTACGGAAGTAGATTGCCCAACTTTCCTTCCGAGGTGCTCCGCTGGGGAGCTCTGTTAGTGCCATGTCTAAGGTACTTGACTGCTAACCAGAAGGGTGGCGGTTCAATCCACCAGCCACTCCTCGGAAGGAAGAATTACTTTACCTCAAGCAATTTGTTCCTGAGAGATAACTCTAAACCCTTGGAGTTTCCTGAGTAGCCTTTGTTATCTAGAAATCTAGACTATACCAGTGGGTTTGTACTAATGGGTGGGGGCTGGCCTGACCAGAAAGACCACCACATGACCTGATAACACCTGACCTCAGGAGAGGTAGGGGGCTGATCCAATCAACCATGACTCAAGTGATACAACCAATATAAGTTCTGGACACAGAAGTTCCATGGACTTCCTGGTGAAGGGAGGATGACATACCTCTTTGGGATGAGGAAGCTCCACTTTGGGAACCCTCTCAGACCTTGTCCCATATGTTTCTTGTTTTGATCCCATGTGTATCCTTTTTGCTATAATCAATCTATAAGCCTAAGTATAGCACTTTCTGTGAGTTGTGTGTCATTCCAGAGAATTCTGGAACCTGAGGAAGTAATGGGAGCTAGAAGTCAGAAGTGAGGGAGCATGGGTAAGCCCTGAGCCTTCAGCTGGTATCATGAAGGAATAGAGAAAAAAAAAACTGAATTTGGAGGCCATCAGGTCAGAAGTGAGGCTACTGTGTGGATGCCCAAACTTGTGGCTCGTTTCTGCCTATTTGGCAGTCAAAGGACCTTTTAACTTGTGAGGACTGACCTAGCTTCAGGTGGCTAGGGTATGAGAAATTAAGTGCTGCATGGACAGTTGCATCAGAACTGAATTTAGAAGTGGTAAAAAGTGGAGATTTTCATTTATTTTATTTCCACACAGCACAGATACAAATTTGCCTCTAACCAAAAAACCAAACTCACTGCCATCGAGTCGGATCCGACTCATAGTGATCCCTCCTTGGGTTTCTGAGGCAGTATCACTACGGAAGTAGATTGTCCAACCTTCCTTCTGAGGAGTGGCTGGTGGGTTTGAACCACCAGCCTTCTGGTTAGCAGCCAAATGCCTTAGGCACTATACCACCAGAGCTCCCAACAAATAGATATGGATACATATTATAGCAAATATCTCTTGTTTTCTTCCCTCTCTGATTCATAAAACATAAGATATACTAACTATCTCTGGAAAAAGGGTTAGTACATTTTCAGGATAGTTCTATCACATTAGGCAGAGTAGGACTTGGTTACTGTCTTTGTAGATTATGTATGATTTAAGGAAATGAAGTTGTCATGGGGTGGTTTCTGATGGTTAATTTTATTTGTCAACTTGGCTAGGCCTTGGTGCCCAGCTGTTAGGGTAAACACTAGTCTAGTTGCTGTTTCGAAGCACAGTTGTTGTTAGGTGCCATCAACTTGGTTCTGACTCATAATGACCTTCCGTACAACAGAGCGAAATACTGCCTAGTCCTGCACCATCCTCACAATCGTTCCTGTGTTTGAGCCCACAGCATGATTAAATCAGTTAGCCTTAAGTAAAGCAGAGTATCCTCCGTAAAGTGGGTGTGCCTCATCCAATCAGTTGAAGGACTTAAGAGCAAAAAAAGTTTCCCTATTCTGCCTCCAGACTATAAATAGATATTTTGCCAGAACTCCCTCACTCTTCACTCTTCCCAGCACCTGACCTATAGATTTTGGGACATAAACCTTTCACCTGAACTATAGATTTTGGACTTCCCAGGCCCCACAATTATATAAGCCCATTTCTCACTAGTTCTGCTTCTCTAGAGGACCTTGATGAAGACATTTTGGTTACTTCCTCATATCTGTCATTTCCACTTGGTTGTACATGACCCAGTGAGGGCCTCATGAGCAATCATCACCACCTTCCTCATACGGAAACCTAAGGGTCAGAGGCACCCAGTGACCCACCCCAAAGAGGAGAGAAACATCAGTTATCCTCACACTTCAGAGGTGATAGC